GATTTCATCTCCTTGTCAAAAATCAGTTGACCATAGATAGATGGGCTGATCTCCAGATTCTCAATTCTATTCCATTGATCTGTGTCTGTCATTGTACCAGTACCATGCTATCTTTACCACTACGGCAGTGTAGTAGGATTTGAAATCAGGGAGTGAGATACCTCCTACCGTTCTTCTATTCTTAAGGAGTGCAAGAAAGATGTTTTTTTTACTGACAATGCTAAAGCATTTGTCTGTGTGGATCATAATGAAATACTGAATTATTATAAGAATGGAAAATCCAGGACACTTACATGCACAATCTGTACATAGTTCAATTAGCATTCGTTCAAACAAAACAGAGACACTTGCGTGCTTAAAATCAGGAAAGGTATATACACCAGGGTTGCATCTTTGACCACACCTATTCAATCTGTACACTGAGCAAATAATCTAACAAATTGGACTAAATGAAGAATGCAGCAACCAGATTTCAGGAAGATTAGTCACATAACATGTAGAAAACACCATCTTGTTTGTTGAAAGTGAAGAATACTTGAAGCATTTGCTCATCAAAATCAAAGACTACAGCTTTTCTGTATGTTTCAAAATACGGGGGTGGGGAAGCAGTCATCCGCACACCTGGACCAACAGCCAACATCATGATATATGGAGAAAAGTTTGGAGTTATCATTTTATTGGATCTGCAATCAACTCCCATGGAAACAGCAATCAAATCAAACGACTAATGCATTGGGAAAATCAGAAGAAGACATCTTTAAAAAAAAAGCAAAAGCAACGCTGTCATTTTGAGCACAAAGGTGTGCCTGACTCAGCCATGGTATTTTTGGTTACTTTATGCATGCAAAATCTGGACAATAACTAAAGAAGACCAAAGAATTGATGTTTGAATTATGGTATTGGTAAAGAATATTGACTACAGCATGGACTGCCAGAAAAACAAACAAGTATGTCTTGGAAGTATAGTCAGAAGTCTCCTTAGAGGCAAGGATGACGAGACTGTCTCACACTCTTTGGACAGTTTTCAGGAGAGACCAGTTCTAGACTTAAAGGTCAGCAAAAAAGAGGAAGAATCTCAATGAGAAGGACTGACACAGAGACAGCAACAATGGCTGAACATTTCTGAGACTGGAATAGGACTGAGCAGTGTTCCATTCTGTTGTATGTGGGGTCTTTATGAGTCACAGCACTCAACAACATGTATAGAATTATAGTAGAAGAATACCTGGATTGCATGGTGAAGTGCTTGACTAACTGAAAGGTTGGTTGTTTCTTGAAGCCCACCTCACCCCTGCACCTCCGCTCCAGGCACATCAGAGTATAGACTTGGTGATGTGTGTAAGATCACAGCTTTGAAAAGGAGTTGTTCTATACTCTGCACACCTGGGGTTCCCTGTAAGACAGCATACTATCCACAGATTTCTGTACCTGGAAATGTCTATGGAAGCAGATAATTACAGCTTTATCCTAAGGGAGCAGCGGATGGTTTGGAACCACTGAGCTTTCACTTAGCATCTGTGTGCTTTAACTACTGCACCACCTGAACATGTCTATACACACATTAGATGACTCCGATGATCAGTTTCAGTGGTGACATATTTATCCCACCAAAGTCAACCTCTGCATCTGACAGATTTAAGTCAGTCAAAAGATGTTTTGTACAAACACAGTTTAATGGCTGTTAAATAGGAAAAGAAAGAATATTTGCTCTATATACATTCTCTTCACTTACAGCTAGCCATGCACACTTATTGCACATAGACAGAGTGAACAACGATGAAGACATTTTAGCCTTATAAGAACTACATCGAAAAGAAAAAATCTGAAGCATGAAACACTGAAGCCATTTGTATTATATGACCCACTTCAAGAAAATACTGAAAATATCTAAAGAAATATTTTTATTTTGAAAAAGAAAAAAATCGTTGCAAACAATGACTAACAGTACTTTATACCGTCATATATACATGGTTAAAAAAATTCTGGACTTTGCATTCTGAATGCCCAACAAGGTACAGCAATCTAAATTCCTATTTATATAACCAACCTTTGAAAGTTGCTGAAATTGTATACACTCTTAGTTCAAAATCTCTATTTTTTTACAACATTATGCTATTTGACAAAACAAATAATTGTACAGGAAAATATTAAAATACACTTTATGTTAGGTTAAAGTGCATAGTACATTTAAGAGGATGCCATTGCTAGCTGCCAATCCCAATGACTCTTTTCAGTAGCTCCTCCACCTTCCCTGGGACAGAGGGGGAACCTCTGTGTGGACTGATGAAGACTGGGTTCCACACAGGCTGTATCCTCCTCAACCTTTGTGTTCCCTTTTATATTTGCCTTAGAAATTATGGCTGCTTAGAAATCTGTCCCTGCTGAAAAAAATGCCCTGCTTTTAACAGGAGTAAATGCAGGACAGCACTGTGAGACTTGGAAAGACTAACATTACATGCCATGTGAACTGTGCTACGTGAAGCCTATGTGACTCCTCCAGAATAACGGTGTCCATTTCTGGTTCTTCTCTGGTCCTAGTTTGCATTAACTTGTTCCCTCCTTCGCCACTCTGCCTCACAAAAGCTACTTGCTTCACCTTCTCCTCAGCCCACCTTGTGTGGTGTGGTGCGCAGCTGCCCCTGTACTCACAGTGAGCACATCAACATTGAAGCATCTTACGGACTACTTTAAAAATCCACTAAAGAGAATAGCATGAATACCTTCTACCTCTCAGAATAATTTTCTCTTTTTAAACTGTTGTTTTTGTTGTTATGTGTGTTCGAGTTGGAACCCACAGATAGCAGACCCTCCAGCTGGTTTCCAGAGGCTGTAAATGGCAGGAGAGGAGACTGTCCAGAGAAGCTGGTGGCTTCCTGCTGTGTGCCTCCAGGTTGGCGGTGCAACTCCTTCCCACTTGACCACCAGAGTTCCTTCTAAACTGGAGGTTTTGACTCATGTCCTCTGTGCTTGCTTCATCAAAGCTTCCTTTTAAAAACTTTCTGGCAAAACGACGTATATTCTCTCATCTCCACTTTCCTATCCTGTTTCCTCACAATCTACCTTTGGTGCTAGACTTTCTTGGATTACCCAAAATACAGTGCAAAATTATACTTCAAGACACATGATGCCAACACTCTTACTTCTGTGTTAAAACGTGAATGTTCTATGCATAGCAAAATAAGTATGAATCCAAAAAAATAACTGTTCACATTTTATCTTCAAGTTTTAATGTCTTTTAAAATCACAGCTATTTACAGTAACTCTGGGGTGCTCTCTTGATTTCAGTCAGTTCATTATACTGGGGGACAAGGCTGCTGGAATGTAGGGAACTGGATGGAATGCAGAAATATGAGACCAACGTTCCTCAAACTGAAGCGTAACATGGTGCCTCACCAGGAAATAGTTCTTATTACAGAAGCACCTTTTGTTTTGTTTTGTTTTCTGCTTAAAATTCTTTTGAGTCCTACACACCAGAAATTATGATTACTGAGAACTAAGAGGAGTAGAAAAGAACTCAATATTTATAATATTAAATAAAAGAATTAACCACAAAAAAAGCAGTAATAAAATATTTTCCTAATTTACAATTTGCATCCAAAGGATGAATAACAACTTACCAATAAATAATATTTATATAAATATTTTGCATGTCAAAAATAGTTGTGTTTTTTTTTCTTTTTCTTTTTTTAAAGGCAATGGTCTCAAGAAAAACACCCTGAAAAATTTGGTGGTGAAAAACCTGATGGCGTTCCCCCTCCCCCCACGAAAAACATAACGGGTTTGCTTTGAGTGAAACACATGCATCTTTGCTGCAACACATCATTTGTGCTTGGTGCTTTGGTATGGCCGTTGGCGAATGTGGGAAGGATGAAGGGGGCTGAAAAAGGCAACGATGTGCTCCCTTCTTCTCAACCAGCTACTGGTTTCAAGATAAATACCTTCAAGTTTTAGCATTGCAGTCAGTTCTGAATGGGGAAAAAGTCCTCCTGCAGGCTCTCCCTTGACAAAGAGGCTTTTAAACGCAAGCTGGGTGGGGACTGAAAGGCAGTGAGGTGGAGGGTGGATGGGAGAATCTGAGAGCAGAGTTCGCTGTCACTGATGGAAGAAGTGTCTGAGGCAGCACAAAGGTGAGGTGCTGGCTTCATGTGAACAGCGCCTTTGTCACACTGATGTCAAGTAATGCTTGCACAGTGATGCCCACTTTTACCAGGCCCTTCTCTTCAAGAATGTGATGTGGCAGACATAGTTTCTCCTACAAGAAAGAAAAACAAAGCATCAGTTTTTGGATGAGTAAATTCAAATAATCAAATCTTGCCACACAGCTGAGAGCAGTTAAGCTCACACCGTAATATGCCTACTTGTTTCCTCTTAGACTATGCTCCTTCCTTGCTTTCATGGTAACCCAATGTAAAGACCACTCCCATGTCTATGGAGGAAAAAAATGCTGTTTCACAAGTGAGTTGTTCTAGATAGAATATCATCTTGTTTCTTAAGATCTACACACTTAAGAAACACAATACTAAGATGCAACCACTGGTCTCTATCTGGTGCAAAGAAGAGTGAAAGAAAGGGAAGACTGTGTGAACCTCAAGTCACCATGACCCTAGCACCAGAAGAACTAGATGAGGAACACAACTCAAAATCCTAAGAACGACCAGGCTTATTGGTTTGAGAGAGACAGGTGGAATCCCTTTGTCGCTCTTCAAACCTGGAACCGACCTCATCACCATGAAGCAACTCTGAGCCAAACAACAGCCAGGCCTATAAAATGATCCATAATATCTAGGAGGGACTCCTTCCTTAGAACAACCATCCAAAATCCAAAGTGCAGCATCCACCAGGAACAAAGTTCAGATGGCAGAAAGAGATAGGAAAGGAAGAACAGAAATGGGAAATGCAGGGAGGCAGTGGGAAGAGCCTGTTACCCTGTGGGGACTGTAATCAATGTCATGGATGACCATGTGTATGAACTCTTGAATGGAAAACCAATTTGCTCTGTAAACTTTAACTCAAATGATGATAAAGTGTTAATAAAAAAGGATCAATATTAACACTAAGAGCTGGAGTGGCATCCACTTCATAAACAACATGCCTCTGGTAACTATGAACTTTGATAAATGTCGACAATTGTAGAGGGGCTTCAGGCCTTGTGTTCATAGGGTCGCTATGAGTCGTGCTCAACTCAAAGGCAACAACAACAGAACAAGTGCTATGAAGAGTTAGCAAGAAATTACATAAGAATATATTAATTTAGTCTTACAAAGCAAAATTGAAAACAACATTTCATATATCTTAAAGTAACTCAAACAGTTATTTATATAGACTTCACATAGTTATACGGACCATAAAGCACTATTCCATTGATTTGATGTATGTGGGTTGACTTGCCATGGTTTATAAGCAGGCTTATAAATAAGTAAAATCTAACTACAGGCGTTAAAACCCTTTCTTTTGAGAGCCCTTCACAAAACTATCAAATATTCAAATGTCTGGTAACTTTTCCACACTGTATTTTTGCTCTTTGGAGATGTCCAGCATGTACTCAAAGAAAGCAATGAGTTTAACTTTGTATATCGAGAAATCATTGAACATTTTTTTCATTTGGTGTTGATCTGATGTATTAATAGCTTCCAGGGTGTGTCTCCAAGGGTAGGAAATGCTCCAACAGCAAATACCCAAACCTGTCCACTTGACAGCAAGATGTTCTGTACGAGATCTCGGCTCACAAGCATTTACATGGGACTCAGAAAGTGGAGTCTGTTTAACAGGAAGCCTATCCAACTGTCTGCAGGACTGCTTCCTTTCATGCTGCTTTTGGCTGAAGGGAGTTTTGGTAGCATAATTCATAAGGAGTGATGCTGCTCACACAACACGACACTTCTTTGGTGGTTCGAATCGATCAGTGGTTTTGTGGGAGAAAGGCAGGCCACCTCCTCCCATGTGATTTACAGCCTCCTGAAAACTTACTGGAGGGTCAACTAATTGGTTCTGATTCAACAGCAATGAGTTTGAGTTTTGGCTGAGGAATCAGATCTTCCTGATGCTTCAATTCAGGATTCCGCACAAATTACCACAGAGAAAGGCTTTGTGCTTGTAAGACCTTTAAAAGTCTCCCCCCGGACATTTCCCATAATTCTAAGCCATTAGGTTTTAAACTCTCTCATCATCTTACTCCTTCTCTGACCCCTTATTCACCTTGTGGTAAATGCAGAATATTTCAGACTCTGATGAAACAAACGAAAGCCAAACCATTGCCAATGAGCTGATCCTAACTTACAGTGACCACAGGACAGAGATTTGCCTCATTCATTGGATTTCTAAGGCTGTAATCTTTATGGAATCAGATGACTGTGTTTTTAGCCCTCAGAGCAGCAGGTAGGTTTGAACTGCTGACCTTCCAGTTAGTTACCAGTTGAGCACTTAACCACCACACTCCTTTGACTATGAAAACAAGAAAGCCCAACGAATTGTTTCACAGTTGACTCAGACTGAAAGTAATCCTACAGACTGTGCCATCTGTGAACAGTGGTTACAACTGCCTGCAGGGTTGAGTTTCCACTTTAGGGCTTATGGGAAGAGTTCGGGCTCTTGAGACAGGGGTGAGAAGTTACTCCTGCTCCCAAACCACTTGAACCCTTTACAGAGAGTCACATGATCATTCTATTTCCCAGGCTTGCTTTTACCAACAAGCTTTCTGAGCTTCCTGATGTCCTTACTGTTATATAAGGCACAGAGTCTAAGCCTCTCTCTTTAAAGCTGTTAATGGAAAGTAAACATAAGACCTGCCTTTCTCTTTTCATTCCAACAGCCTAAGGAAGTCCAGAGGTGATTCACTGGATGTGGAGGGATCCGAGGGGCCTAGTGGAGACAGTGGTGATTCAGTGATGGCATTCATTCCAGTAAGGAGATGTGGGTTCAATTCCTGGCCAACGTACTTCATTCACAAGCTCTGCTGCTATGATGATGAATAGGTTTTAGTAGATCTTCCAGACTAAGACAGATTAGGAGGAGGCCTGATGATCTACTTCCAAAAACCAGCCACTGAAAACCTTATGGATAAAAGAGTTCAGGGTCCAGCTGCAGGACGGGGCAGCATTCCATTTCACTGTGCATGGGGCACCCTGGGTACAGAAAGAAGTGACTAAAGGGTGGCAAACAACAATAACTGCAAGACTAGCAGAAGACAGCAGAATCCCAAACCCTGTAGTTCTGGTTATTTTACCATAGGACTAGGAAAAAAGAGTCTGATGGGAATTATGACTTGAGGTGTGGTAGAAAGAATCAACAAGGGAGGCAGACCATAAAGGAGTATGACTAAAGGCCTTTGTCATCACATTCATCCTGCCTCATACACCCTATGGGGGAAGAAGTGCCTGAAGGGAGCTGAGATGTTGGGATGGGGATGGAGCTGCTACAGATTTGTAGCTGGATAAGGAATGGCCACAGACTAGCCAGGACAGGTGGTCATTCCAGGACACTACATACACAGAATAGCCTTAGAGCAGAGATTAAAAAAAATCATTTGCCACTGAGCAGCCTCCAACTCAAGGCAACAATTTCTGTGCCTGGGTAGAACTGTGCCCCAAGGGGCTGTCAATGGCTGACTTTTCCAAAGTACATGCTAAGGTCTTTCATCTGAGGTTCTTTTGGTGGACTCAAGCCTCCTACCTCTTGATTAGCATCTGAGCATGTTAACCCTTTGCACCACACACAGGTACATTTATACTAACTTTAATGAACTAAAACTGCATAATAAGATCCTGGTGGTTTTTACTGAGACTGTGACAGACAACAGTGTACCCTCCTAGAAGAGCTAGTGTTGCATCTTCAATGATGAAAGTGATTGGGTTCACGCACATTGACTCCCTCACCCCCTTTTCACCACCAGCAAATGGGGGTGGACAGGACTGTTCACTTCGTAGGATTACTGAGCACCAATGCTTGGGGTTTGCATTGACTATTTCCTCATAAAACTCTGCAAAACTGATGTTCATGTCTCCATTTTACAGACCAGGAAACTGAGATGCCAAGAGTTTAAATGGTTCAAGCCATGCAGTTAATGTGTGAAACCACTTCTGTCTCATCTGAGAGTTCTTTGTAGACAACATTTGTTCCTGCTCAGAAATTCCTTCACCAATGGGGAGTGGGGAGTGTGCTTCATCTGTGACTATGTCACCAAGAAACCTGGTTGGCCTTTACGTGCTATCCAGGAAGCATAGATCAATTTCACTGTCAGGTGGGATCAGAGACTCCAGCTCGCCGCTCAGGGAAAGGTGTTAGCTTTGTTGGTTGGGCTTCCTTTTCACAACCTGTAGTCCTGCAAAATGGGCTGCACCACCAAGTATAGTTTCTCCCGCTCCCTCGTAGCCACATACCTACTTCAAGGAAGCTGGGAAAAACCCTGCTGCTCAATCTAACAAGTGTGAAACAGGTTGTTTTCGATAGCTGGTTTTTGGAAGTAGATCATCAGGACTTTCTAGTGAACTTGAACTCTGGATGAACTTGAACCTCCATCTTTTCAGTTAGCAGGCGAGCGCTTACCTGAATCACCCAAGGCCAGCCACTAGGCTAAAATGAAGTCATTTGAGTGAGCATGTTTCACTTTGTTGGGCCTGTTTCTGGAATACGAAGCTGTGGCACTAAATGGAGTCTTGTAACAAATATTTCCATTTAAGAGAGCTTCAGAGTCCAGCTCCACCCCAGGAACATGGAAGGGTCAGCTTCTCCCCATGTCACCTGGATACCAGGCCACCCAGATCCCAGGGTTCTAGGCAGGACTTCCTGGCACTTTTTATTGACTCTACACAAGCCAGTGTGTGTAACTATTGTCTTTGTCTGTTTTTCTGCTACAAAGGGAGAGTTGAACAGCCCCACAACAGAGACTGTCTGGTCCATGAAGCCTAAAATAGTCACTATATCACCCTTCACAGAAAATATCAGTGGACCCTTAGCTATTAAAAGCTTTCTGAGGATGGAACCATGTTTCATGGTAAGCATGTTATCCTAGGGCCTACCAATATTTGAAGAATAATTGAATGAACCAAATCACATTGAGTCAAAAAGGAACGAATGAAATCATACTGAATGAAACAAGAATGAACCAAATCAAACTGCAAAGTCAAGCAGTCTAAACTCAAGGAATAGAAAAATGGTCACACAATAAACCCAATTGTTGATTATCAAGAACCAATTTAAAAATCTGAAGCCTAGTTTATTTCCTGAAATAAAATCATAAAGAAACATTTTCAGTTT